CTAATACAGCAGCTTCATCAGAAGAGATATGACTCTGACTATTAAACTTAACACAGCTTAAAGCTATTGATTCTCTTTCTTTTATATACTTTATAACCTCTGTATAGAAAGTCTGTAGTTAAGAATCAATAGCATTCTTTCATTCTATGATAGAAACTGAGTTAAGAATTATCTTAATATTATTGTAATATCTAACAGATACTTTCATAAGAATACTCTCTGTTTTAACACAGTTGTATAATGTGACTTAATTCTTGATACTATTATATTGTTCATTTATATTCTGTCAGATCTCTGTGATCATGATAGCATGTTTCTTTACTATCATCTGTAAGTAGATATGCTCAGCATCAGATCTCTGAACAGATTCACAGAAAGCTCACTTTTCAGTGAACTCATTCAGCTCAGTGAAGCAGAGCAGCTGACAGAAGTCACTTCTAGTGAGTTATTCATTCTACTTCATTGCAGTGTATAACAGATGTGTATAGAGTGAGTCTATTATAACTGAACTGATTATCAGCTACAGTGATAAAAAAAGTAGAGTAGTCAATCAGATCAATCATCAGTTGACTGAACTTTATTATTCATAATTCAGATCAATTATCAGTGTTATATCTTCTCAAAGATAAAAAGAATGTAGAGAAATCAATTAGATCAATCATCAGTTAACTGAACTTTATTATTTATAATTCAGATCAATCATTAGTGTTATGTCTTTTAAAGACAGAGTAGAATCTAAGAGAATCAAGAATCTTGTTCTTAATAAGATATACTATTAAATTGCAGTATACATTATCTGTAGTGTATGTCAATCACATATCATACATGTAAAAAGGTAAATCTTGTCTTATTCTTCAAGATGGAGATGAGCGGATACCTCTATATATATATATATATACATGCTTGTTTGTTTATTGTGATTGACTTTTACAGAAGAAAGAAGCAGAAGTCTTAGAAAGAAAGAGACAGAAGTCTTAGAAAGAAAGAGACAGAAGTCTCAGAAAGAGATGAAAGCTCTGAGAAGTATCAGATAGAGAAATAAGAATAGAGTGAAAGAAGAAAGAAGTAGAAGTCTCAGAAAGAAAGAAGTGAAAGCTCTGAGAAGTAGTAAGAGTGAACATCACAAGAACTGTGCATTACAGATGTATTTAAAGATAGTATTAAGATATTAAGAAGATTGAAAGAAGAGATAATATCAATGATAAGATTACTTATCTTCTTCTTATATAACTTCTTCAAAAGATTAATTATCTTCTTTCAATTCTTCTTCTTCTCAATAATGATTTTATTAGTCTGAAATTCATATTTATATAATATAATAACAGATGTATAATCTACAACTTTCATCTTCTTACAGATCTATTTTATAATATACTTCTTAGTCATCTTTTCTACAGTATATTGAATATGAAAGAAGCTGATAGTTGAATCATTTACTGAGATAGTCTGATATTTAGTCTTGATAGAATTCTTTATCTTATTGATAATCACCTGTTCATATAATCTATATAAGATGTCAGACTCAGGTGTAGAGATTCACAGATATCAAGAATTCTCAGACTGAGTCTCTATATTCTTCTCATTCATCTGCTTCTTCATCTCATTATTGACTGAATTCTCTTCATTATTCAGAACTTCTGAAACAGGTAGTTTGAGAAGACTGAGATGCAGGGTAGAAGTCTTTGTACAGGCTTATGAAGCAGCAGGATGGCAGATGTTATAAGGTATATTAAAAAAAGAGTTGATTGATATATGTGGATTTGATGATAAAGGTAAGAAAGACGCGTATTTGGATGATATTTGATTGAAAAAGATGTGTATTGAATGATATTGAATGATTCTAGAGAAATGCAGATATTTTGATTTTTTGATGGTGTTTTGCTACTAATTCTCAGGGGGGGCTGAGAAAATTCTGTTTTCACAAGTAATATGTCCGCCACAATAGCTCTTGGGCCGGAGGCTCCGTACTGCCCAAGCCAAAGCTTCTGCTTGTCGCTAAATCCCCCGCGCTGAAGCAAAGGCTATCTGCCAATCACCATAACAATAATAATAATTGGCGTCTAAATGGTGGCACCCGATGTGGTCTAGCGCACCCCTTGCTGCTATAAACTCGCTAGCCGTGGACCCTCTCAATTTCACCTAAGTGTATACCAACTCGATGCAGCGTGGTCTTCTTCAGTGCTGTCTTTCGTGGCTACATATTTGCTGACACTGCGGCGGATGGGAGCCATCATTCTGCACAGGCTGATGCATGATGGCAGGAAAAGGAAGGCACAAACTATCCATGAGAAACCGATGAGATGAGCCATCCAATCCATTAGACAGGCCACCATTTGATATCGCGTTTTGGAATACGGCATGGGAACTGGGATAGCAGACTGAGTTCAGGGGATTAGTGGATTTCGAACAACCTAAATCTTTAAACAGAAAGCATGATCCCTCAAAGAACTGGCCAGAGTGTGGAGTGGGAAAGAAGGTGCTAAGCTGAGCTGATGTTATTATGAACTTGTGCTGTTTTCGGAGGCACATGTTGCAGCTCAGAAAGTCAACTGAAGACCTCATGTACAGCTCATTCAGCCTCTAAGGAGATCTACTGTGATCTACTGTGACAGGGAAACTTGATATCAGCTTTATTGATGATTCAAGTGCCATTGAAGGCTTCATATGCCACAGGACTCAGATCCATATATCAAGATACAACAGTTCCTCAAGCGCGTGGCTCGATCTATGAAGATACGGCAGGGATATTCTAGCCATTCACTATTCACGCCGTTTTGTGCTCGGTTTAATCTCCTCTGGCAATGCCTTTGACGGTGGGGATTTAGTTGCCCTGTAGAGATAGCATTTAGAGAGCTGTTAACATCATCACAGAGGCTCTACATTGTTCCTGTTCTTATTGGATGTCTGTTGATGAATCAAACTCAAGCAGCTTGGATTCAACGCGACAACTCCCTTATCCAAAGGTAGATGATGAATGATGATGATACTGAATATGGATCTCAGCATGGGGATGATGACAATGCTTCAGTAAGTGCAAGAGATAACCCACATCTGACTAGCCAACTTCTCTTAAGCAGGGGACCCGCTCCATGACACCACATTTGCTAACAGGTCATCACTCAAATACTTTCCCTTCAATTCTTATTCTTATTTTTGCTTCTTTTCTCGAATAAAATGAACAATATTTTACACTGAGTGAATGACATTTTGTTCATTCCAGCAGCTTAAAATCCGCCAGACCAAGAAGCCCAAATAATGGATCACAGTTCACAGGTCAGTTTCTTACATACCAAAGTTCTTCTCCTGCTTCCAGCAGCCTTCATTTCCCCTTTACTAACTCTTTGTATGGCATGAAGAATTTAGCAGGAACAGCCCCAGGCTTGACATCTGTTGATTGAAAATTCCAACTGTTGTTGACTGATCAGACGCCACAGCCGAGGCGGAAGAGCATGTAGGCGCCTATGACCATGAGGGAGTAGAAGGGGAGCTGCACATTGGGATTGAGTTAGTCTTGTTTTCCTTTCGTTTTCTTGTAACCGCTAGATGACTAGCTCGCGCAATATGCAAGGCATTTATTAGCTCACAAAGTATTGTCTGCAAATATGTGCGAGTCCTCTCCCAAGCCAAGGGAATCAAGCGCAATCCCTTCTAGCAGAATTAGTTTTATACCCTGCGGAGGCTGCACATGCAACCGTTCTGCGGGACCGTGTTTAGGAGGAGCTAGTAGTATGGAATATCAGCGTAAACTACCTGTCGAGGTGTGCACCATGATTCTAGATCGATGAGAAATAATCAGTGGCTGAATATTACACCTCCAACAACCCTGTCTGCTCACTAGTTCCCTAATCTCTATAATAATATTTGATAGGTTCCTGGATAGAACCCTGATAATCTAGGAAAGACTTCCGCAGGGCTCCTGAGTATCTCACTATGGACGCTCAATCTTGTCATATTGTATGTACTAGCCACCTATACCCGCTGACATTTTTACCTCAATTTAAAACCAATGCCACTTCATATAGAAATTTAAATGAAAACTTGTCCAATTACTTACTATCTCGATATATATACAGAACCTCTCCTGCAATGCTGAGTCACGGAGTTTCGATTTTAGCTGATGTTAGGCTAGTTCTGTTTTTACCCAGTTTCAAAACGAATAGATTTAAAAGCTAGTTACAAGTTATACAAGCGTGCGATACGTAGAATAATAAGGTTCTAGCAACCCGAGTACGGTACGGGAGCGGATGCACATTTAAAGGAATATGATATAATTAATTCTCTTATCACATGCTAGAAAATCTGCTACGTTAGATATAACTATCTATACTCCGTAGTTACTCCGTAGTTAGCCTTAAATTCCTTCTCTCGTTATTGACATCATAGAACATATTTTTTCCCTCTTTTTCAACTTTTCTTTTTACTTTTTGCTTTGTTTATTATTGTTACAGTTTTGACATGCACGGTTACACGTAACTAAAGCATGCGCAGGAATGTCAAGCCTTGGAACCTTGTATCTATCTGTATGCCACTTGATTATATTCTTATTCTACATTCTCAGCCACATGGATCCGTCCGTGGCCAGCCCCACTAGCCGTAACTAACTATTCGAAAAGGCGTGTTGCAATAGTGACATCACCAACAGCTCCAGCGTATTCGGTTCAGCATCACCACTGGTTTAAGCGTTATTTGCGAAGGAAATCATGATGAGTTCGATCCATGGTAACCATATAAAAGGGGGCAATTCACACTCACCTGATTTGGCCGTCGGATTATGGGCCTGTTCCTCACCTGTGCTAAATTTGTTTTATATCGCCCCCGTTCTCAAGCTTTTAAGAGCCATATGTCGAAGAAAATTTTGTAGGTAAAAGTCTACCATTGCTTGACAACATACACATGTCGATTCAACATCTCACCCTTCCAAACTGCCTGATTGTTCCGATTGTTCGTCTTCCACCAGATCCGGACTCCTGGCACACCCTACAATCCCCCCTGCAAAACCTATGCCGGAGGAAACGTCGAACTTCCCCGCCCATGAAGCTCGGGATGCCCAGATTGCGGAATACGAAGAAGACGTAAATAATGAATCCAATAGCGATGATTCATCCACTCCCGATGACGAAGAGAGCTCTAGGTTCCAACTCGTCAGGTCGTTAACCAGAGATAGCCTGCCAGAGCTCTCAAGAATAGCATCCGTTTTCCCCCATGATGAACAGTATCCCCTAACGGGTGACCTGGACAGAAGAGATACTGTGACTGGCCTTCAGCTAGGGGATGCTATCCTAAACCCTTCCAATCCACAATTCGATTTCTTCAAATGGACTCGCAAGCTGATGCGATTGATGGAGGAGGAGGGCATAAAGAGACGCCGTACGGGACTTACATTCAAAAATCTCTGTGTCTACGGTTCTGGTTCTGCATTACAGTTGCAGAGCACGGTTTCTACTCCGCTCATGGCTCCTATCCGGTTTCGCGAAACCTTCGGTATCGGCCAGAAAACTCAGAAGCGAATTCTTAAGGATTTCAATGGGACGCTCAGGGAAGGCGAAATGCTTGTTGTCTTAGGTCGACCTGGGAGTGGGTGCAGTACGTTTTTGAAGTCTATCTGCGGCGAAACGCACAACCTTATTCTCGGAAAAGACACAGTGATCCATTATAACGGTATTCCCCAAAAGACCTTCGTTAAAGAATTTCGAGGGGAGGCTGTCTATAGTGCGGAAGACGAAAATCATTTCCCTCATCTCACCGTTGGACAGACCTTGGAGTTTGCCGCTTCTTGTCGGACACCAGCTGCCAGAGTCATGGGAATGACTAGGAAGAGATTTGCCCGTCATATAACGAAAGTTGTCATGGCTATATTTGGCTTGAGCCACACAGTCAACACCAAGGTCGGCGATGATTATGTGCGAGGTGTCAGCGGTGGTGAACGAAAGCGCGTTAGTATTGCGGAGCTTGCATTGTCTGGTGCGCCCCTGGCCTGCTGGGACAATGCAACTAGAGGATTGGATGCTGCCACCGCCCTTGAGTTCACTCAAGCGTTGCGAGTCGGGGCTGATGTTACGGGAGGGACACATGCCGTTGCCATTTATCAAGCAAGTCAGGCCATCTACGATATCTTCGACAAAGCCATTGTTATTTATGAAGGACATCAAATATACTTCGGACCTGCTAGGGCTGCGAAGAAATACTTCGAAGACATGGGATGGTACTGCCCTCCGCGGCAAACAACTGGCGATTTTCTCACGTCCGTGACGAACCCTATCGAACGAAGAGTTCGGAAAGGGTTCGAGTCCAAAGTTCCCCGGACTGCGCAGGAGTTTGAAGCATACTGGCGCCAATCTCAGGCATTCAAGGACATGCAGGCTGAAATAGCAGAAAGCGAGAAAGAACACCCCATAGGTGGGCCAGCTTTGGGAGAATTGCGTGAAGCGCAACAGCAGGCCCAAGCGAAGCACGTCCGCCCAAAGTCTCCATATACCATTTCGATGGCCATGCAAGTGAAGCTGTGCACCATCCGTGCCTACCAACGCCTATGGAATGACAAGGCATCAACGATATCCAGAGTGGCTGCGCAGCTAATAATGTCTTTGATTATTGGATCGCTATATTTCAATACGCCACAAGTTACCAGCAGTTTCTTCTCAAAAGGCTCGGTCCTATTCTTCGCTATTTTACTAAATGCCTTGCTTTCTATATCCGAAATCAATACGTAAGTTTTTTACCCGCTTCTCCTGTCTACGAAGCAACTTTTTACTAACGCCATGCTTTAGGCTCTGTAAGTTTCACATCGCTTGCCCCCAAACGTAACACAGCTACTAACTTCACAAGATGCCCAACGGCCCATCGTCTCTAAGCATGTATCCTTCGCCTTTTATTACGCCTGGGTGGAAGCATTCGCAGGAATAGTCGCTGACATCCCTATAAAGTTCGTCATAAGCACTGTCTTCAACATTATTATCTACTTCCTCGGTGACCTGAGGAGGGAACCTGGAAATTTCTTCATTTTCTTCCTCTTCACGTTTATCACTATGTTGACTATGTCTGTGATTTTCCGAACGCTTGCCGCCGCAACAAAAACTATTTCCCAGGCACTCGCGTTCGCGGGAGTAATGGTGCTGGCAATTGTCATATATACCGGTTTCACTATTCAGCGATCCTATATGTAAGTACAGCTTTGACTTATTGAATTTGATCTCAATCTCCTGCTCAGTTGTTTCTGTTTGGGTGGAGTGGTTATATCACAAAGGCTAACCGTGAACATAGGCACCCATGGTTCGAATGGATCAGCTGGATCAACCCAGTAGCATATGCATTCGAAGCCATCTTAGTAAATGAAGTGCATAATCAACGTTACGCGTGCGCAGATATCGTTCCGCCCTACGGCCAGGGGGATAATTTTCAATGCCCAATTGCCGGTGCCGTACCGGGTGAAAGGTCTGTGTCCGGCGACGCATGGGTTGAATCACAATATGGTTATAAGTATTCGCATCTTTGGAGAAACCTTGGTTTCATCTGCGCCTTCCAGGGCTTCTTTTACGTGCTTTACCTTGTTGCGACACAGATGAACACCAGCTCAGGCTCATCGGCAGATTACTTAGTATTCCGACGCGGGAACGTTCCTAAATACATGTTAGAACAGCAGGACGAGGAAAATGGCAAAGTAATCCGTCCGGATGACGTTGCTGTTGCTGCTCCTCAGAATGGAGCCAACGGGGAAGATACCACCAAGGTTCTCCCCCCCCAAACTGACATTTTTACTTGGCGAAACGTCGTCTATGACATCACAATTAAAGGGGAGCCGAGGAGGCTACTTGACCACGTCTCTGGATGGGTCCGCCCGGGCACTCTCACGGCATTGATGGGCGTCTCTGGTGCAGGTAAAACGACACTACTTGACGCACTTGCACAGCGGATTTCCATGGGCGTTATCACCGGGGATATGTTTGTTAATGGAAGGCCACTCGACCGGTCCTTCCAGCGGAAAACAGGCTACTGCCAACAGCAGGATCTTCACCTTGAGACGACCACAGTCCGTGAGGCGCTTCGCTTCTCTGCCATGCTGAGACAGCCAAAGACTGTTTCAAAGGCTGAAAAATACGAATTTGTGGAGGATGTGATCAAGATGCTGAACATGGAAGACTTTGCTGAAGCAGTTGTCGGCAATCCGGGCGAAGGTCTCAATGTAGAGCAGCGAAAGCTTCTCACCATCGGTGTTGAATTAGCTGCAAAACCACAACTTCTACTTTTCCTTGATGAACCTACTTCCGGCCTCGATTCGCAGAGTTCATGGGCCATCATTTCTTTCCTCCGAAAGCTCGCCAACAATGGCCAAGCTGTGCTCTCTACGATCCATCAGCCGTCCGCAATCTTGTTTCAGGAGTTTGATAGACTACTGTTTCTGGCAAATGGCGGCAAGACTGTCTACTTTGGGGACATCGGGGAAAATTCCGAGATCATGCTCAAATACTTTACAGATCACGGGGCTGAACCCTGTGGCCCTGATGAGAACCCAGCAGAATACATGCTGAACATTGTGGGAGCGGGGCCCAGCGGTAAATCGACGCAGGACTGGCCAGAAGTGTGGAAAGCTAGTCCACAAGCGAGGGAAGTTCAAGAGGAGCTGGATCGCATACATGCAGAGAGGACAAAGGAGGAACCTGCTTCTGAGCCAGAGGAGGAGCCCTCGATAACAGAATTTGCCATGCCCATGACATCACAGATATACCATGTTACTCTTCGAGTTTTTCAACAATATTGGAGGACGCCGACATACGTCTGGGGAAAGTTTTTGCTGGGTTTTATGTCTGCTGTCTTCATGTAAGTGGTGCACTTTCAAGATCCCGATGGGCCATTCGGTTTCCATATATTAATGTTTACCACAGAGGCTTCTCATTCTATGGACAAAACTCGTCTTCTTCGGGATTTCAAAATACGGTTTTCTCGATTTTTATGTTGATGACCATCTTTACTAGTCTTGTCCAACAGGTATTTAACCTCACGCCGCTATTGTTAGTTGCGTAAATATTTTGGCGAAATTCTCACAATTCTCTAGATAATGCCCCTATTTGTTACCCAACGGTCTCTTTTCGAAGTCCGCGAAAGACCATCGCGCGCATACAGCTGGAAAGCCTTCCTACTCGCAAACATCATCGTGGAAATCCCCTATCAAATACTCCTTGGAATAATCGTCTGGGCATCCTTCTACTTCCCGGTTTTCGGCAAGAACCAAACGGCCGAGCAGCAAGGCATATTCATCCTCTACTGCGTGCAATTTTTCATCTTCACATCTACCTTCGCTCACATGGTAATCGCCGGTCTCCCTGATGCAGAAACTGCAGGACACATTGCCACAACCCTCTTCAGTTTAGCCCTTGTCTTAAACGGCGTCATGCAGCCTCCCAGAGCCTTCCAGGGTTTTTGATCTTCATGTGGCGCGTCTCCCCATTAACCTACACCGTCGGCGGTATGGCCGCCACAGGCCTCCATGACCGCGAGGTACAGTGCGCAGATAACGAATTCGCCATCTTCGACCCGCCTAGCGGCGCCACATGTGGGGAATATCTCGAACGATACCTCGCCGCGGGCGCGCCGGGTCGTTTGCTCAACCCCGGCGCCACGGAGGCATGCAGATACTGTCCCATTCGGAGTGCGGACCAGTTCCTCGCGACGTCTGAGATATTTTGGTCAAACCGCTGGCGCAATTTCGGGTTTGGGTGGGCGTATATTGGGTTTAATGTGTTTGCGGCGGTGTTGTTGTATTACATGCTGCGAGTGAGGAGTTCGAAGGGGAAGACGAGCAAGTGGGCGAGTTTGATGAAGCATTATTTGTGCCGTGCGGGGAGTTGGGTCAGGGCGTTGTTTACGATGCGGTTTGAGAAGACACCGCAGGGGAAGATTCATTTGAATCAGAATCTTCTTTGAGAGGGGTGAGAAGATTGGAGGATAGCGAGGGACTTTTGCCAGTGGGTGGAGAGAGGAGAGGTAGCATGCTTGGTTGAACATATTTGAACTTGGTTTTGGCTTTCTGTCATATGTTTATTAACTATGTCGCGCGCCTTTATTACTTAATATCCACCGTTTAGTTATTTTTACTTCCTGAATACATGGCATTTTGGTAATTGAATTCAAATGATATTTTGAGTTCTTGTTTCTTCTTCCCTTGCTCATTTGACCCAAATGTCACTATAGGCTACCGTAGATTCGAAGGAATTTCAACACCGGGGGGTAGACACCTGGAATACCAAATTGATTGGCGTGGCTATGCTGCTTCCTGGGAACCTCTCCATAATGTTGCTACCTAGTTGCAAGCAACTGGTCAAGGAATTTCACACAAGGTCACTGAAGAGGCCAAACCTTGCCAAGCTCAAAAGGTTCAAAGAGGATGATGCACTGGAAAGATACAACAAGACAGCTCATAGAGCAACTGACAACCACTGGCCTCTGCCCATGCCAAACCCCTGACAAAAAAGGATGTCTGTTTGAGGTACAAATGATCACTAAATACATGGTAATTATCTAAAAACTCTGTTAGGTATCTATCTACATTTACAGTAGTATCAGATGAAGTAAAATTGGCCGTATATCCTAACCTATGACCTTTAGGTCGCGTTGTGCATCTTGAAGTATTTTCCTCATTTCTGAGCCCAATTTTGAATTTGTTCTCTTCCATCGTCCATTGTTTGGAAATACAATCCGTCGTAGCCTGTTGACCCAACACGACAATGGCTGGTAATATGGAGTGAAGTAGTCATCCATGATTGTAAGGAATACCTCTTCATCAGCTATAGCTCCGATTTTGGCACCACCCAGTTCTCTTGTACTCATATAATTCCACTTTTCAAAATCCTTCACCTTCCTCCCTTTCCCCGGCGCTTCGTAGTGAATGCAGATCCAGAAGAGTACCCAGAAAAAGGACTCAAGGTCATGCATGAATGAATGCTCCTCCCCAATCAGGACACCGATTGCCATGAATGCTCTGGTGCCAGTTTTGCCTCGCGCTCCTAAGAACCCATCGCGTTTTGTTCGGATGGCAAGGTCGAGATCGATCAGGAAGGATCGCCACGAAGGGTTGTCCTCATTCTCATTGATCAAAAGATTTCGTGGTGAGATATCACTCTGGATCAACCGGGCCCTGGAGTACAGGGATTCGTACCCTACAATGCAGCCTTCCATTCCGACCAGTAGAGCCACTCTTGAACTGCTTTCGTAGATAGGCTTCCCGTAGTCTTGAACAATGACACGACGATGCACTCGATTCGGTGGACTGCCCGCGGGACGCTTCATTGGCGAGGTGGACTGGGTGCGCTTGCTGGGGGGAGGGGGAAACACCGTATCGACGCAATCGGAAGATCGTTTCCGCCCGATGCCGCTGCTTTGGCTGGCATGGCCTCTATTGGATGCACTCCTTCTTAGGGCCACCTGCAAGCTACCTTGCTTGGGTTTCGGGGCCTCTAGACCCTTTCGAATGGTCCGCACATCATCGTCCTTGCCGTCCACCTGGACAGTTTCGTGAAAGTAATATCGAGCAACATTCGTGACTCCACTCTCCATTGCTTCGCGCAGCAGTTCCCCTTCCTCATCGCGCTCCAGGTACTGCCAGGAGTCTTTGACCACCAGGATCCGCTCGTCCCCTTGGCGATGCGCTTTCCAGCAGGTGGTGGCTCGGCCCACGACACAATGTGCCCGCAGGATCACCCCATCAATCACCAGATGCTCCTTCTTGCCATCACGCTCAATCTCGATGCAGCGTTGACCATCCACTGTGACAACAGTCGGGTCGAAGCCGAGCTGCCGTCGGTTCATGAAGAGGAACCCCAGGATCACTGTGATGAACTGAAGGCCATCCTGGTTGATGTCTGTCTCCGCTGAACCAATCCCGCCGCAACAGTCAAATTCCCAAACACACAGGAGTGGTCCACACAGGGTGAACCTGAGAACAAATCAGCGGTCACCCTGCGCAGATAGCACCTCTCGAGCATACCTTGCCAGGTCGAGCCGCGCCTCAGAAGGGATGTCATACTTTCAGTCATTCTTCAGCTCTCCTGGTACCAGGATCTGCGACCACTCGTATCTCTTGTCCAGCATGGCATGAGGGTCATCCACAAAGCCTATATCGAGCTTTCGCTTTGCAGTAGATCCGGCTACTGGTTGAGCGGGCTGAGCTAAGTGTCAGCAGACAACTGTTCAAGATGAGTCATAAATTTCTGCAAACTGCACAAGCTGATTGATGACTTCAGTAAGCCATTCCAGTACAGTTTTTTCGTCCGCATGGTCAGGCCAATCCTTCCATCCATTTTCGCGGTAGAGAGGGCTATCGCTAGTCTTGTAGTTCTCAAACATAGCCTGCGCGGTCGAGACGAGACCTTCGATGTCATCAAAGTAAGCTGCATAAAAGCCAGGGACGTCTGCATGGAGATCTTCCAAAAGCTCCTCCCTCAGGACACGGTCAATATCTCCTTGGAGCTCCGACGAGTTGGCAAGGCTGCTGGTGTTTCGCGAGCGCGGGGTTTGTAAGATTGGTAAAGATTGCCTAGGTGGAGGTGTGGATTTTTCAGCATGTGTGACAGTGGTGATGAGGTTGTAGACGGCCTTCCAGATATCAGTGTCAGGTGCTTTCTGGATGATGAGTTGGACAATTGGTCGGTAATGATCATGGCTATAGTTGCCTTCCGAAGGCAAGTCAATAGTTTCGACAGCTCTGAAATGATATTTAACCTGCTTATCGGCGGACGAAGGTTATAAGCCGCTTTTGCATCCATCAAAGCAATCAGGGCTTTTGATATTGCCTTTTGGTAGGTTTGATCAGGGCCATCAGCAGCGCCACCATGAGACTGCTCAGCAGCTCCTTGGAGAAAGCCACGCACCCGATCGAGTGAGTTCCTTAAAGGGTATATCTCTACCGTAGCAATCTCGTCTGGTGATAATTCTGCCATAACGGTAATAGGAAAACTATAGGACTGGAATGGAGAGTGACAAACGGGAAGTTCAGAACAATTTTGGAGATCATAAGCTTCAAGCCCAGACAGGGCGGTTCAATCCTCGCATTGGTGGGTGCTAATTGAATATTGCTTCCTGTAGAGGGGAAGTGTGCCGAAACTCTTCGACATTAATTAAACGATAACTAACGTAAGTAGATAACTACAGGACACCTCACCCAGCTTAATAATGGCTTCGAGATAATTACCCTGTTACGTGCTTGTCGGCTCTTGAAGATGGAACAAGTTTTTGTTAACGTATTACCAAAAACGAGGCTATGCCGAAATAAGTTAACTAGTTAGTTAACTACCCATTTGACACATTTGTTGCCGTACCTAGTGCAGACTGATTCTGTCGGGAAATAATAACATCGTATTACTGCTATTTTTCTCATCATCATCAGCCTACTACAATTGCTCGTCTAATAACTTACTCGCTAATGCTAGCTTCTTGGCTCGCACATTCGTCTTCCTATAAATAGCCCTATATTTTGTATGCAATTAGAGAGGATAGATAGTGTACGGATAATATAAGAAGCAGATCTTGATACACATGAGATTCATATGTTTTCCGACATATTCATCCGAGGTACCATTCCGACAGTTGAGGCACATAGCCCCAAAGGAGCGGAGTCAACGTGCTCACACCTTCTTCAGTGGATTGAATGAGTGTATGCACAATCATTCGTGTCGGCAATGTGAACTTTATTTATATCTGGACCATCTCCTAATCCGCATCGCCTAGGTTGTATACTCTGCGCACCCGCACAACCCCTTACTCCAGAAGTGGTATACTCGACATCAAATTTTTTTTAAATAATATATTTCATGTCAAGCATTCGAGCGAGGACAAAGAATTATGTGAAATTTCATCCATCCGGCTATTTCTGAGGATATTCGCAGATCGAGGGCCGGCTGTATGCTTGCAGTGCCGAACCGACCCCGCAGCCTTTCATTGCCGAAAGGTCTGAAATCGGCAGAGCCGAATTCTGAAGATTCTTAGGAAACGATATAGCCGTTCCATGAGAGTTAACTCCTTTTAAATACATAGAAATAGCGATATAGACCGTTTAAATCGACCTGTTTTTTGATTTATGTTTGTTTTCATGGTGTGAGACAATCGGCTATCTGCATTTTGGAAAATGACGTTCAGATCAAGACATCCTGAGATCGATGGTAGGCATATAAGGGGATAGAATCCCGGGTTTCTGGCTTTTCAACATTTCCACATCTTCAGCCTATCTGATGTGCTTTCTTCGCTTGCCCCTACTTTTCTATTTCCTATCCATTCTTACTAATAGAGCAAACCCGCAGTTCCCACAAATATAACGGTATGGCAGTGGCTATTCGAATCGCCTCAATTCTCGGTCCTACACAAATACCAGCCGCACGAGCTGGCGGGATATACCAATGCGGTTACAAAGGAACGCGTCAATTGGGTACAAGTCAAGGAAGCCGCAACTTACGCAAGCACGGCTTTGGTGAGGAAATATGGCATGAAGGAAGCCGACACCATATCACTCTTCAGTCAGAACACAATCTGGTATCCTGTAGCTATGTTTGCGGGGCTCAGGGCGGGTATGTATATATTACATAGGCCCATTTTCACGCTAGTACATTCACTGAAGCTGCCTTTTTTTTCTTAATTTGCTATAGGTGGTAAGGTGGCTGGGGCCTCCCCAGCGTACAACATTGAGGAAATGGCATATGCCCTCACGAAGGCGGAGACAAAATATCTCATGACAAGCCCGAACTCGTTGAAGGTTGCCGTGGCTGCTGCTAAGGTTGCTGGAATTCTGCGAGAACATATCTTTCTACTCGAAGGAAACGTAGAGGGATTCACTACCTTCAAGGACCTGCAAGAGATCGGGAAAGGCTACGGCGAGCAGGGCCAGATTCCCCCATATACGATACCGGCCGGCAAGACAAATAAGGATATCTGCGGCTTTTTGAACTTTTCCAGTGGAACAACTGGATTGCCGAAGGCTGTGAGATATGCTAAAGATATTCGAAGCGGGGGTGGGGTGGCTCTGCTAACTCTCCATCACAGGTCATGCTTTCGCATCACAATGTAATGGTCCAGTGTTTGCAGATGAAAGCGATCACTCCGTGCGAACCAAAAACGTTTCTCGGTGCTTTACCACTGTTTCACAGTGAGTCTCCCCACATCATACGCCGCCCGATAGCTAGGTGTCAACGATATATCTCGCATATTGACTAACTGCAGCCCCACCTATCCCCGCTTCCTGAATGCAATAGTCACCGGCCTCAACCGCTTCTGCAATAGCCCCATCCACCAAAACGACGAAGTCATCCTCCTCCCACAATTTACCATGGAACTCACCCTCAAGTCCATCGTGGAATACAAAATCACCGAACTAATCCTAGTCCCGCCAATCGTCATCCGATTCATCCAAGATAAAATCGTAGACCAATACGATCTCTCCTCCATCAAACGCATATCCTGCGGCGCCGCACCACTGAGCAAAGAAGTCGTCCAATTGCTCGCGAAGAGGTTCCCCGACGCCGGGTTTAGACAAGGATATGGCATGACAGAGTCGTGCGGCTGTCTGACCTCCCACTCTCCTAAGTACTATGGCTACGAGTACGCGACCACAGTGGGCGATTTGATCCCGTGCACGGAAATCAAAATCGTCGATGACCAGGGGAAGGAACTGGGCTATAACCAACCTGGAGAAATCCTTGCCAAGGGCCCACAGATCGCCATGGGTTATCTCGGCAACGAGAGCGCCACGGCCGAATCCTTCTGTGGGGACGGATTCTTCCACACGGGCGATATTGGTAGTATGAATGAGGAAGGCCTAGTCACGATCGTCGATAGGATCAAGGAGATGATCAAGGTGAAGGGAATCGCCGTTGCGCCTGCCGAACTTGAAGATTTACTCCTTGGCCATCCGTATGTCTCTGATACAGCGGTGCTGGGCAAAATGGACGACTATGCGGGTGAGAGACCGAAGACGTACGTTGTGCTCATACCGGGCGTTGAAAAATCAGAGGGTGTTGGGAGGGAGCTGATGCAGTATGTTAGGGAGAGGAAGGTCCGATTTAAGTGGGTGGAAGAGATCGAGTTTACGGATGCGGTGCCGAAGAGTACGAGTGGGAAGATTTTGAGACGGGTTCTGAAGGAGCAGGAAAGGAATGGTGTTAGGGGGGTAGTTGTACGTGAGAGTGAGCATGAGAAGGAGAGGGCGAGGTTGTGATTTTTAGAAAAAAATAGGCAAAAGATCGCCTCGCAGGCGGCTCCTCCATTTTTAAGGTTTGGGTCTATTTAAGCTTATCGGGCCAAGAAAGAATTACGCTAACCGGTTTAGGGACATTTGTCGCCGATCAGCGAAAATGGCCTTAACGCTGTGCGTCGCCATAGCTCAGTATGCTTTTTGGTAAAACCTTTACTAAGCAAAGTCAATATACAAGAAGGGGCCAGGCAAGCATCTTAAGGTTTCTCCTTTTCCATTGCGTTGTAGGGTTATTTCTGCAAATTAGGGTCACTCGACAAAGAATACAACGCTTTCAGATGTGGACCGTGGTAGTGAGAGAAAGGGTTCCCGGAGGGAGGGATGGGTGTTGGGAAGTAATGACTTTATCTGAAAAGTGCCTGTAATTACTAACTGCCACACACATCACATCTAAGACCTCTATTTGATGTTCATGATCTCTCAACATTCAAGAATGATTGATTGTATTTAAGGATTCGATGTAAGGATGGGCAATATGTAGGTGTATAATCTTCAATAAAGCCATGAAGCTCGACCATAGTTTTGTGTAAGACTTCGCAGTCAAATAGCGGGGTAGTTCCGTTAGAGTTCTAAACCATGGCGTTGAAATGCCCATGCTCAGTTAAAAGATTTGGTGTTCCGATTGCATGCGACTGAAATATGCGCATAACCTCTCGGCGAATTCTTTTTTGACGCTGGTATCTAGAGCGCGGATTGGCCATGTTCGTCGAATCTCTGAGCCGGAGGCGCGAAGAGCTGACCAAATGCAGCATGATATGCGCTCGAAAGCAAACATTCCTCGCCGTAATCCAGATGCAAAATGTGAGAAGCCGACAGAAACAGCTAAGAAGTGGCTCGAAAATACACGGAGCAGTGCAACAAAGGCCCTTCCAACACACTAAAAGTTGAATGGAAATCCCAATACCCAATCTCAAACAATTCTAATCCACGTGGCAGAAGTTATCAGGTCTTGAACGCCTAACTTGATAACTAAGCTGTGGGAACCACGCCTGCAACCTCTTGTGAGTTGGTCAACCCCCGTGTGTAGTTAACTGATTTGCCACACCATGTAAATCTCTAGCGTGGAGAGAAGGTCTTTGTTCCAGACCTCCGTGCATCGCCGACAAGTGCAATGTGAAACCAAAGAAATCCTCATATCCTTCCCATAATGCTAACTACTTCGACCTGAGAACTCCTTCCTTGGTCAATCCTCTATCCCCGCCGCCTCCCCTCCTCCAAAGCCAAATAGCCTCCGTCGCCCACGCTCGCGCGCTGGCGTGTTTCCCGATGCGTCCCACATTACTTGAACCAGCGCTAGTACCAGCGCCAGGAGGAGTAGTGGAAGTGGTAGCCGTAGTAGAAGGTGATTCAGATTTCGAGCCACTGCCACCCCCAGCCTCAGCCAACATACCCGCAACCACCTGCTCGCGCTCCACAACACTCCACAGCCCCTCAACAAGTGCGCTACCGCGCTCCCCAAACTCCCCCTTCCCCAACCTATACAGGAACCGGCCGAGAACTTGCCAGGCCAGACAGCGCTGGGCGGGGAGCGTGGAGCGAGAGAGGATTGCAAGTTCGGGGATTGTATAGCCGGCCGCTTCGGGATCGTCAGCGTGGTGGTGGAGGCCTAGGGTTGTGGGGATGGAGAGAGAGGTGCGTGGGGCGAGGAGGTTGCCGGTGAGCGAGAAACGGAGGGAGGCGGGGGAGACGGAGGTGGCGGCGCTGTCGGGGTGGTAGGGGGATGTGGAAGGGTTAGTTGGATCGTCGGATGCAGGGTCGTTAGGTGGCTGGAGCCAGGAGAGGGAAGAAGGATCGTGCGGGATATCTGGGAAGTAGTGGGTTTGTAGGTCTGCGAGGAAGGATGGGGAGGAGGGATCGAGGTTTGGCATTGGAGATTGGCGTGGGGGAGGTTTGGGGAAATGGATAGGACCTGTTGGGAATTCGGAGGCGGGGTATAGTTCGGAAGGTGGGTAGGGAGGTGGGAGGTTATCTATGGTCGATGATGGTTTGGGGGGTCGTTCTTGTTCTTCAAAGTCTGCATCGGCGGACTTTTCTACTGTCTGCGAAGGTGGAATGTCAAATGATACTGATTTGGGAGGCTTTTTGAGCTGCGTAGATGTCCCCTCTGGTTCTTCTTTTGACACTGTTGGCGAATTAGCCTCCTTAATATCCCTCTTCCCCTTGTCCATCCGATGTTTCATTTCCTCATGTTGGTGGTCCTCCTCGATATTTGCCCTTCGGAGGAGGCGTTCGATGAGTGATTGCGGAAGCGCAGACATCAATTCCCCGCGCTCTCTTTCAATCTCAGCAGGAGACATGGCGGCCAGTCTCCGTTTGTTTTCTTCTTCTATGGATTTCTTCTCATATTCCGCATAGGAAGGCGCCTGGCTGAGATTGAATCTACCAGAAGCGCTCTCTGAGGGCTGTTTATGATTTCGCAAAGATTCTGGCTCTGCTCTTTGCTTTTTGAAAGTAGACACCTTAGATCGTTTTCGGGGCTCTGGAAAACCCGTGGAACTGGAGGAGGCTCGTGGAGGAGTAGGTGGTAGAGAGGTAGAAGAGGATGCTCGCTCCTTGATGTCGCCGATAAAATCTAGGGACTGCGATTGGACGGGGGGGCGAGGGTTGTCGTCGTCGTCGTCATCGTCAGAGAGGTCGATGTGAAAGCGCTCTCCACGGATAGCCATTTTCACTGACTATCCACACGTATATATACAGCAGCAGTCAAGCAGCAAACTGTTACGGATGTAGTTGTTGTTGTTGAACATGTCACTGCTGTTGTGGCCTTTCACCGGCAGCTTTATCAGATCGACTTGCTAAGTAAACAAGGAGCGCCTACACGTGATCTGCAGCCTTGTGCTATTCTGGCCTAGCGCAGTCTCGGCAAGGTTAAGGTTTCACATCACGTGGATGCGGCTGCAAGACTAACTTAAAGAGGAAGTTATGCCAAGCCGATGTAGATCGCGGAGAAGTTACTTGTATCTGTTCTATATAAACATAACCTCTCAGAGGAATGGATTACTACAGTATGAATGATACAGAAGGGGCAGAGGTAGAGGTGCTGTATGGCAGTTTCGCAGCTACATAGGAGCTTTGAGGACCCAAACTATCATACCCCCACCCCAATATTGATGTTTCTGGTCGGGTGTGGCTTGCTGTGGCGAGTGTAGGAGCTAGGGCCGATAGACCATGAACCTTGCAGCAAAGGGGGAGTTTCCTGACAGCAGCACAGAGAAAAGTAGTGCCCAGGCAGGGTGGTTCCAGAGAGAGTGAGGAGACAGGTAGCAGCTTACAAGAGACCACCAGAAGGGAGAATGGAGGGTGTTAGGAAAGGTGATATGAAATAACCCCCGAAAAAGAAGTAGGTATTGTATGTATCCCTTGCCAAGGTCGCAGCAACTAGTCCGCATATGATATCGACGCTGTTCAAATGTTCCCCACAAGCAGCTAATATTTGAACAGCTGGATAGCTAGTTACAGTACTTGCAGACAGAGGAACATACAACAGGAATACATGCCTCCGTACAATATCAGCCGGCGTTGTCGTGCATGGCGCATCCCCCTTGATCGTGGCCTAGTGAGAGTACTCTTCTTCCGGGCTGCATCATCATCATCCGGTTCCTTCAATCAATCATCAGTCAATCATCCGTGTGTCCCTTGAGGCCACAACCACAGCAGCTGTTTCGCCATTATTTGACTTTTTCCTGGCTGCTTCCTCTGTCTCGCCTCTCGTTGTTCGCCCAGCTCCAGTTCCAGCTCCAAGTTCCAGTTCCAGTTCCAGTTCCCCCTTTCCCTTTCTTTCCCTTTTCCCTTTTTCCCTTTTTCCTTTTCCCCTTTGGCTCCAGTAATCAGAGTAAGTCAGTCTGGCTGCGCCTGAGTCTGAGTCTGCGCATGCCACTTACTACTAATACCAGATCCCATCCCCCTTCTCTTCTCTCGTTCTCTTCTTCCTTTCTTTCTTTTTCTCCTCTTCATTTTCTCTCTTCTCTCCTTCTCATACTCTCCCTTCCCCTTCTTCCTAGGCTTGTTTTCTTTTCCCCCCGGGCGCTTCTTGTTCTTGTTCTTGTTCCAGTTCCATCCCGCTACCACACAACTCCCGTATCTCGCGCCCGTTCTTATATGACAGCTTCACCCACCCCCCCGCTCCCAAATCTCCCAAATCTTCCATCTTCCGTCCGTCTTCATTCTCGCCAACTTTTTTGTCCCTCACCATCACCAAACGCTCCCCCCGGAACACGTCAACATCATCATCACCACCCACCATCCGCCATCCGCCATCCGCCATCCACCACCTAAAAACCTCTGGTTCTCTGCGTGTTTGAATGATCGCGGATAATTAATTCATTTTGATGTTCCTGGAGCTTGCTTTATCCCGCCACCCCGACAAAGCACCAACACCAGTCCGGTCCGTCCAACAGCGCAATCCGACTCCAAACCGCCAAAAGTTTTTCTTCCTTGTGATTTTCGTCTTCCTCGTCGTCTCCTCCTCCTGCCTAAACCAACTCCGTGAAACTAACCAACCACCATCGCAAACCACGACGCGACGGTTCTCTTTCTAACCACGGTCGCCTCCGGGTTCATATTGCTGTCCAGGATCGATGTTCATCCACCACCAATGAAACAGGGAAATTCATTGAGTTTTCTATTGTTCTTCCACCACCAATTTCCGGCGTTCAACAACTCAACACCACGTGATTATTTTATTTTGCTGCAGGACGAGCACAAATAAAAATATAAAAAAAATAAAAAAAATAAAAAAACCAATTTATTTCACAAGGAGAAACACAGGGAGAACGAGCCAGGTTCTGAGTAATAAAGAGGAATCTATTCTCCAGCCAACAGATCATACATACACATGTGTGAATGTTAACACTGGGCCTGTTCGATATCTAAAAAACAGGATAAAAATAATAAAATAATAATAACAATAATAAAATAAACCCCTCTCTGAGACACGGGCCATTCAATTATTATTATTGTTCTTATTATTATTATTATTATTACTATTACTATTATTATTATCATTTGCGCTGTTGCGGATTGAATAATTAATTATTCGTGGTGGAGAAGAAAGCATGTCTGGAGATGTTGCGGATGAAGGCTGGCGAGGCAAAGCCCGCACTCGACGCGGAGAGCAACAGCAGCAGCAGCAACAGTCGACCCTGAACAGCCAACCGCCTGCCGAACCTCATATACAACCACAGCCTCAACTACAACTGCAACAACAATTGGACCAGCAGTTCCAACAGCAGCTACCATCTGCCAAAATACTCAAGTCTTCGTCGCCTGACTTGTCATCCCCTAATTTATCCGACTGCGAGAGTGTGCCTACTCCCGCCCATTTTCTTTCTCGGTCTTCGTCCCCTAATGCTGCCCCACAGGGCACCTCTGCCTCTACGAGCACTGCTAGCGCTACCGTCCCCGCTGTTACAGCTTCAAAGAGCTCTGGAGGTGCGGGAGTAAAAAGTGAGAAACAGGACAGCGCCGCAGCCACTGGCACCGCGAAGCCGAAACGTACGAGACGAAAGAAAGAAGACAAGGACCCAAAGGAGAAAACTAAGGAGACAAAGCCTCGAAGACGTCGCACTAGTAATAGCAAAAACAATAACAACAACAATAATAGTAACAACAATAACATAAACCAGGCTCAAAATCAGCAGCTTTCGGTCACCAGCGACAATGCAGATCGGGGAGCATCGCGCAAAAGAGCTAAGCTGGATCATCCACAGGATACCAAGCCCAGTCCTCCCTCGCGGCAATCCAAGATCACCGATCTAGTTACCCCCCATTCTGCTCCTGCTCCTGCTCCTACTTCTACTCCTTCGACGCTATCTCCAACTCATGCGTCGAACCAGTTCCATCTTGCACCATCTTCGTCCACCTCCCCGCGGCTGCAGCCACACCACCAGCCCCATCATGTCCATGGTGTTTCGCAGAACAGCAGCTATGAAGCATTCCCGACAAACGGGGATTCCGGCCCTCCAGTCCGGCCCTATCACATCCAACCCGCTCCTTCTTCCACTCCCACTTTAGCTCCCGTTTCCGCGCCCGCACTCGGTCCGCCCCAGCAACACGCCCCAACCCAGCGCTCCAGCGGCCAGAACTATGACCCCATCCGCTCTGCTTTTGATAACTCTTCCCTCACCACCCCTCAGTTCTCTGCATCCTCAAAAATTTCCCTATCCTCCAGTCATCACCAGTTTAGCCCCCCGCCCAATACCAAGACACCGCCTCCTCGTCCAGTATACCGAGCCAGTGCATCTCCTGCTATAGCCAGCATCATCGACCCTCCCATCCAACCGTATTCCTCAGCCCCCCTCCAGTCATCTCTCTTTCTTCAACAGTCAAAACCTTCTCCGGAGAACAATCATTCTGCCAAGGACTCACCTACTTCAGCCACTCCCACCTCGACTCCTAAAACCAATACGACAACTATCCAACAGCCTAATCCTGTGCATCAGCCCCTGCCATCCTCGTCTCTCTTGCAAGAACCCATTAGCATGGACATTGACAGTGGGAACAGCGCACCAGCGCCTGCTTCGTCAGCACCTTCCAAACCAACTGCTGCAGCCTCCACCAAGAAGGGAGCCGCAGCTTCCACAGGTACGCCGTCCACCGCACCTTCTCCCAAACCGTCACGGACCAAAGACACAGTCAAACCTCTTCTCCCATCAGGCTCAGGCTTGCTAGCCGGTACCCTTTTCGGCGTAGACCCCACCGATAAATCCAGCTCAACAACATCCACTATGTCCACCCCGAACATCATCCTCCACATCCCCCTCAACGGCAAAACCAACCAGATCATCAACTTCACTCGACTTGCAGAGCAACAGTACGGCTTCGATGCCCTCCATCCCCGCCTCGCAGCGCAGCGCGAACGGCTAGCCCGCGTCAATGCCGCTAGCGCCGCGCTCGAGAGGAACGAGAAGAGCGCCAAGGGTGCCGCTGGTACCGTTAGCGCAGCGGAGGATGATTTAAGCCTCGATGCTGATCGGGACAGCGATGGGGATGGCGATGTGCTTATGTCCGGCATGGGTGGTTCACCGTCGTTGTTGAACGCCGATGCAGGTAGTGATGCAGGTGGTGCTGGTGCTGGTGGTGCTACCGCTACTGCTGCTCCTACTAAGAAGAAGAGACGGAGGAAAATCGAAGAATATGACCGTGACGATCCGTTCGTTGATGATAGTGAGCTTGCGTGGCAGGAACACGCTGCTGCGAGCAAAGATGGTTTTTTCGTTTATAGTGGTCCGCTCATTCCGGAAGGTGAGAAGGTTGCTGTTGAACGGTATGTTTTGTGCCCCCTATCTTCTTTTTTTTTTTCCAGTCATTCCTTCCTTACAAGAGCAAAACTAATAAAACCGCGAATACAGAGCCGACGGCTCCATAAAACGAGGCCGCGGCCGTGGCCGCGGTGGTGCTGGCGGTTCCGCTGCGGGTGGAGGTAGCTCACGCGGTCGCGGAGGTGGTGCTGTCTCATCGAGCGCCGGACAACACCATGCTGGCTCATCTGGGCATGATGGTGGCGGCGGGGGTGGTGCAAAGGGTGGTGGCTCGACAAGGGGAGGGGGTGCGGTAGCTCGCAAACCGCGCGTGACGAAGGCTGGGCGGGAGACAATGCAGCGGGAGAAAATGGAGAGGCAGAAGTTGGGGTTGGAGTTGGTAGGGAAAGGGGGTGGTGCTGGTGCTGGTTCCGCTGGGGATGGCGGTGCGGCTGGGTCTGGGTCTGGGACCGGGACCGCGGGTGCAGGTGCAAGTGCGAGTGGGAATGTTAATGCGAATGAGAGTGGGAATGTTAGTGCGAATGCGAGTGCGGGTGTGAGTTCTAGCACTGGGGGTTCGTAGTGTGGAGAAGTGGAAGGCTTGATGATGA